GAATTCTGCTCACTGCTTTATGTCATATTAGCATCCCTTTACCCTCAAGCCTCAAAGTGCTGGTACTTAACTTGTAAATTGTTGAAAAAAATGGAAAAAGGAAGAAGGAACAATCTTTTGTTCATACATGCCCCCACCCCAGGCACATGAACCATTCATATTGGAAAAGGGTGAAGTCCTGGTATGAACATAGGAAAAGTATTTTAATGGTGTTTCAATGTATTGCTCCATTACAGTAGAGATGGGAGGACCAAAAAAAAAATCAGGCTTGGGGGTTGGGGGAGGGAATTTGAGAGTTGAGCTTGAGTCCATAGTTTGAGATGCCTGTTAAAAATCCAAGTATTAAAAATCTGCTTAAAGGAGGAGACGGCTTTATCTAAGATGTAAGCAGAGAGCCAGGGAAGCATGCCCCAATGAAAACAAAGTTTTAAGTATAAAAAATGTTTCAAATAAAGTAGCCAGTGACTTTGACTCTCCTGAGGTCAATTTCAGTGGCGAAAACAAAAGCCCAACTGAAGAGAGTGAGAGATTAGATCAGTGGTTAGAAGAATGAGCACAACTTTCAAAAAGTTTTACTACAACTTTTTCCTCTTCGGAAACCAGAAGCCAAGCCATAGTGGCCTGCGCCTTTAATCCCAGCACTTGGGAGGCAGAGGCAGGCAGATCTCTGTGAGTTTGAGGTCAGCCTGGTCTACAGAGTGAGTTCCAGGACAGGCTCTAAAGCAATACAAACAAACTGTCTCAAAAACAAACAAACAAAAAAACAGAAGGAGGAGGAGGAGGAGGAGGAGGAGGAGGAGGAGGAGGAGGAGGAGGAGGAGGAGGAGGAAAGAAAGAAAGAAAGAAGAAAGAAGAAGAAAGAAGAAGAAACCAGAAAAAATTACTTCTGGGAAACTTTATAAGTAATTATCTCAAGGAGTTTTAAACCTCTATGAATGGGGCTGGGGTGACCCGTTCAGGAGAAACCCTGATAGCACAGTCAGAGAGTGGGCGAAGGATGGGGTCTTGGGAATGGACCCTTATTTCTCTGTCAGAGAAAGGAGGCAGGAGCTGTGTGTAAATGAATAGCAGGTGTACATTAGGTTTAGGAAGATAACTTCAACTCCTAATTTGATTGCTACTGTATCTTAATGAGTTATGAGACAAGATTGCTAACTTGAAAATTAGGTGAGAATGGAGGTTTAAAAATAGAGATGAGTACACAATTTATCTTCAAAGAAACGCCTCAGTTACAGAGTTTGTTATCCAAGTCAACACCTTCATTTTTATCATGCCTGCCTGGCAGACCCACAAGTTTTATCCAAACTGAGCTGTTGTTGGCAGGTAAGGTCACTACTTGTCAGTGGGTATGCAGATATGTGAACTTGCTTCATCTAAAAGTACTGGTGCACCTAAAAGGTGTGCAAATTCTGTCACTCCAATGCTGGGCCAAAAGTTTAACATCTTAAAAGATTATAAATGTGAGTCCCATATCCTACAAAATTTAACACTGGAAAACAGTCACCCAATAGATGAAACAAAAACATTTATTAAAACAATATCAACACTTTCACTATTATACTTGGTAGAGAAATGTCAAAGAAATGAGCTAAGATTGACACTTCTCCTCCTTTCTTCCCATATTTCTGAGATTAATATTGATATTAATATTTTTATAAAATAGAAATACTTGTATAATAAAACAAAATAATCTATAAATTATAATTAGTAAAAATGCATCATGCAGACTATGTAGATCCACCATGGAGGGCCTCACCTCCCTGGGGATCGGAGTGGAGATTGGGTGGGGGACTGGGGTAAGGATGGTGGGGAAGGAGGGGAAAGAGAGGAAGCTGGGATTGACATGTGAAACAAACTTGTTTCTAACTTCAATAAAAAAATGTTAAAAATTCATCATGATGCCAAATGAAGCATTAATATTCAAAAATGGATTCTATGTTTCTTTACCAGCACCAGTTACTTAGAAAACTATTTCCAGGGGGGCTGGAGGGATGGCTCAGTGGTTAAGAGCACTGGCTGCTCTTCCAAAGGTCCTGAGTTCAATTCCCAGCAACCACAGGGTGGCTCCCAGCCATCCATCAAGATCTAGTGCCCCCTTCTGGCCTGCAGCCATACTTGCAGGTAGAGTACTGTATACATAATAGATAAATAAATCCGTAGGAAAAAAGAAAACAATTTCCAAGCAAATCTTTTCATTGTGATCAGCAACAAAATTAAATTCCTTGGATTAGATCTTAGCAGAATATCTATAAAGTTTTGAATATTTTTGTAATCTGAGAACAATACAACCTAAATAAAAGACCTAAATATATGGGCAAAGATTTAACATTCATAATCAGGAAGACTTACTATCATGAAATCATTTCTCTTTTAAGTCAGTTTACATTTAATACAATCTCAGTTGAAAATTCCTACAGGATTTTTTAATATAACTTGAGTGATAAAAATTAACTCACAGCTTGTACTGAAAAATTAAAGAGCCAATATTAATACAGTTTTTTTTAAAACAACCTGGGGATCATGGGGAGGGAGGTGAGAAAATAGGCCCACATGATATCAGAGCATTATTAAGGTTACCATGGTATAGTTCATTTTGTATGGTTTACAGATGTTGATAGAAAACATCCTAGAAAAAGATCTGAGTCTTTGAAACTTGATGTTTGGTCATTTGATTATGTCCATATAGAAAAATATCTCTTACACACACGCACATAAAAAAAAAACATTAGCTAAACACAAGCCAGCAATTCAACTCAAGGAGACAAAATAAAAAACTCTTGGCAAGATCACCTGCAGATGTACAGATGTACTTATTGCAACATTATCAAGTAGAAGGAAATCTAATCATTAGGAAACATGGTTAAACTGTGGCTTGATCATAGTATGGAATCCTGTAGCAGTTTAAAAGCTTAAATAAGGACACAGTGGAAAACGGCAAAAAACAAAAAACAAAAAGAGTCATAGGATGTCGGAAGTGTCAGCCGACATCAAGTGTAACCCTGCTCAAAGTTTAAAGACGCAGAATAACAGCAGACTGCGCGGGGATTGGGAAGAAGGCCATAACGCGTGAAGACGCGGGTGTGGGAAGAGCAGGGAGGAGCCCCAGACAAGGACTTCACTGCCCCTCCCTGAGAGAAGTGGGCTTGTACTTCACCCGAGTTCCGTGTGTGAGTGCTGGTCTCTCTTTATCCTGGGTAGTGAGCACATGGGCTTTCATTGTTCCGTTTTGTTGTCGAGACGTATATATATATATATATAAATATATGTATGTGTGTGTGTGTATGTATGTATATATATATATATATATTGCATAATATACTTAAAGGGCAGGGTTAGTGAAAACTAACTTTATTGAGCCCTTCATTAGAAACCAATATTTTCTGAGCTTTATGTGCACTGGATCTTAGCAACCTTTCCAAAGGTTTTCTTTTTTAGATCCTTCTTTTACTTACAGAGGAAACAGAGTCCCGAGTCCTACTTTATTTTATGTTTTTACATGTTGGTGTTTATTGCAGTGAATCATTGGTATGGTTCAAGGTGCCTGGTCTCTGTTGCACCATCGTCACTGGGCCTTCACTGGGACTCTTAATAGATGCCCTGTGTTGTGGACACACACACACACACACACACACACACATACACACACGTAAAAATGTAAGAATAAGGGGCTTACTGTGTCACACTGCAGCTTCCATGATGAGATAACCTTTTTTTCCTCTTAAATTTTATTTCATTTTGGTAGGAGAGGGAGGTGGGCGGGATCAGAAGGCATGACATGAAGGACACAAGGAACAAATAAAGACAACATCTAAATTATTTGTGAGTATGCGTGTTTGTGTGGGAATACAATCTAGGTACCCACGGAGGACAGAGGGCTGGGGTCACCAGGAACTGGAGGCAGGCAGTTGTGTGCCACCTTGGGTCCGCTGCAAGAGCAGCGATCATTTTTAATGGCTGAGCAATCTCTCTAACCTCCACCGACCTTTAATAAATGAAGCAACTTGTCAGTGGCTACGTGGCAATAAATAGCCTGAACTAGAAAAGTCCAACAGTTAAAACTCTATGCAGGTTAACCGGCTTCTTTTGGAAAAGTTATTTGTTTGTCTGCAATAAACATGGTGCAGCTGTCATTTCTACCTCTGGATGCAGCTGTGACACAGCAATAGAACATGGGCTCGGTGAGCAAGGCCGGAGTAGTGTTTGCTGGGAAGTGCGGAGCGTGAGTCATTTTCTTGGGCATCCGTTTATTCGTTCAACAAATATTTACCAAGGGCCTGCATAGCACAGTGGTAAACCACCATTTATTTCTTGTCTGCATGAACTTGCCAAGCTTAGGGGGACACAAATTTGAAATTTCCATTTCCATTTCCAGCTAATGAAAAGAAAGCCGTAATTATTACCCATTTTAGGACTAGCAGCCTGACTCACTATAGATTATACTTATTCATTGCTGACACAAAACTCCATATAGTACCCCTCTCTTATTTTAAGGACTCTATTGTGCAAAGCTAAAATATTATTTTAGATTACTATGACTGCCTCTTTTCCTCCCTGCTTTTCCTTTTTCCTTTAATTCTTTTCATCTCCCTAATATTCTTTACTTCAGTGATATTATTAGACTTTCCCTGACCATGCAGATATATTTTATAACTTTGTTCTTTCAACAAAATACTGAGCTAAATGCAGCTCACAAAAAACGTTAATTTGAATGCATTTGGGTCCACTTTCATTTCATTTTTAATCATTTAAGTGGGCATATTCCAAGAAACTCCCTTCCTAAAGCAGTTTAATGCTTATGTTGACCCATGTGTGTGTATACAGTTCATAGCTTATTAACAACTCTGCCTTTTAATCACTGTAACCTTTTAAAATATAGAAATAATAGGGTTGAAAAATAACCTTTATATTTAGTGTTTACTTTAATGATTATTTGATAGACATAGTCAAACTCTTAACTTTTTTCTTTAAACATTTATTTCTTTTTTATATCAAATGATCAGGGACCAGATGGAATTGTGGGAACCCCAGGACAAAGAGGTCGACCAGGGAAAAAGGTAATTTTTTAAAATATATTTTTGCATGAGATTTCTTCTCATGCCCAGAGGTCTACAGAGTAGTAGTGGTATTTGCATTAGACACGAGATGATAAAGACTTATATTAAAGCATCCTTGGTTAGTAACTACTTGGTTTGATAGGAAAGCGTATTGTCTATCATTGTCTCAGGGCAGAGTTTCCCCTTCACAGTTTGGAAAGCCAACCTTTGCTTTCTTTTCTTTTTTTTTCTCTTATTTACCAAAGGGCCACAGACAAGGAAAGATATAACATGAAAACATCATTTTATTTGGGCCATTTGAGAACAATTTTATTGAAATATTTGAAGAACTATGGGATTGCTCTTCTTTCTAGGTTAATTAGGGATAGCTTCTTAATTTGCAAGGTTGATTTTTCTTGCACTTCTCCTGTAACCAAACCAAGGAATCAATAATGTTTTTCATTGTTTACATTTTCTTTTCCAAACAAACAAAGCCCTTGATATATTTGTAAGACCCTAATGTGTCACTCTTACATTATCTTTGTATGCTGTCAGTGACTTGTCTCAATACTGATGAAGTATGGTGACAGTTTTTCCACTGGACTGTGACAGTTGAGCACACAGTTAACTTTCAATCTGTGTTTCCACAGAAGTCCTGTTCTATACCTGAACCATCATTCTCAGTTTTCATCACTAGAATGCTAAGAAAGGCTTTCAGTACCATTTCTATCTGAGAAAATACTCCCCCAATCATGAAATCTCTTTCATGATGCATGACAATGCAACTAATATCAGTATTGGGTTTGGTCCAAATCAACAAACAAACGCACACGCACACACACACACACACACACACACACACACACACACACACACACACACTCCGCAGGAAGCACCAAGAAACCCATAATGTCAGCATTAAAGACAGTGTGGGTCTTAAAAACCAAAAACCAGCACTGCCCTAGAAAAGCGCAGTGAATCCTGTGAGCTGTCAGGAATGCCTCAGGTATCCTGACTGACTGATAGGTTTACTGTCTTTTTCTCACCTTGAGAATTGGTAATAAAGCTGGCTGGTTCTCGTTTTTTGAGAAAAGGAATAAAGAGACGAAGACTGTATCTTGTGAGTGCCTGTCAGAGATAAGGGCTTGTGAGCGTGGCACCAGGTAGCAGGCATATGAGTTTCTGAGGGACACAGTGATGTGGGAAACACAGGGGCTCTTGCAGGCATCTGTGAGCAGATGAGAGATGGTCCTGCGTGTCCAGAGGTGCACTCACTTCCTTCCCGCACGCAGTGTACCTTTGGGATGCTGAAGTTCTCTATAGAAACAGTATCCCATGAGACCTGCTTCCTCACGGTTACAGTGCACACATGCAAAAGAGAGAGACAGATGTGTGTAGCAAAGCATGTTCAAAGCTGGCTGCATGGGATTCATTCCTGCTTGTTTGGTTTAAGAAAAAGAAGACTTTCTAGTCTATATTCAAATTTGTTATTATTTTTCAAATATCATGTGGTAGCAGTTTCTCTAGGACGAGTGTGACGGTGAGCATCTGTAATTCCAACAGTCGGGCAGCAGAAACTACACAGGGAGAGTCTCCCAAACCAAGAGAAACAATAGCGGTCACAGCCATCACAGAATTCTGCTCCCCACCCATCCTCTAGAGGCATTCAAGTACATGATATAGTTAAATAAATTAATACGTTTATTTTCGGTCATGTCAATGTCATCCACAGGGTGACAAAGGACAAATAGGACCCGCGGGAGAAGTTGGACGCCGAGGCTCCCCTGGAAAGGCTGGGGAAAGCGGCCCGAAAGGAGCCAGAGGAACAAGAGGTGCTGTGGTCAGTATTTGATTTCCTTTCAGCACTGACTCACTGTGGATGGAAAAGAACCGTATCCGTGTTCTTAGAGCGTCATCCTTGATTGACTTTACAGAGGATGCAGAGGTTCCGTTGAAAATAATCTACCTCTGTGGGATGGCGGGAATGGCAGGCATTCCACACAGCATTAAACAGCTTAGTGGGTTTTGGACATGAGAAAGGAAAAGGAAAGCTGAAAATGGAAATAAAATATGAAGTGGGGTTTTAGAAATCTGATTTGGACTCCAGCGTTAAGTAGGAAAGTTTATACACTGAGCACTTCAAATCGGGATTTAGCATCTGTCTGAAGCTGCCATCATGTCGGCAAATGGCCTTGAAAATTCAGTGAACATGAGATGTGGTCCCATCCACCGCTGGAACCCACCCTGCTTTAACTGCAGGTTATCTTCCTAAACAGCTGGAAGGAATCTGCCCAGCAGTGATTTCTATCTCATCTTTTGCATGATCTTTGCCTGACATGGGGAGCTCAAGCATGGCACTTCTGAACCTGTGACAGCAAACGTGTGCTGCCGGTGTGTGCTTGACCTACTCAGAAAATGGTAGCGTGAAAGCAAGCTATCTAGAAGATAATCTTCTATTCTGTGAACTTGTTTATAATGTGTGGGTCAGTTAACTTCATCTCCGTTTAAATACCCCATGCCAGGCTTGTCACCAAGGCAAAGAGACCATGGCACAATCTGTTTGCTTTCTCAAGAAAATTTGCCATTACTTACTGACACCTTAGCACCCAGGTCTTAAGTCATTTTATGTCACTATTTCTCTGCCTTTCGCCTACATTTTAAAAACATTATATATAACATGATTTTTTAAATAAACATAAGGATTAATACAGCCCAAATTTTGCCTTTAATGTAAGCTTCTACTTTGGATTTTTTTCTGTAAAGCATTCACCTTAAAAAATTTTAATATATTTTAATTAAAATATAATTATTTCATTTCCTCTCTTCTCTTACCTTCCTGTGTCCTCTTCCTCCAAACACTCCCATGCTCCCAACTCCCTCTCAAATTTATGGACTTCTTCCCTTATTATTGGTACATAAAACTACAGATGCACAAATATACACACACAGCCTGCTGAGACCATTTGCCAAAGCTACAGCCCTATTGTCCATATTTCATATTAGTTCATTTAGTGTTTGATAATCTGATAAATAAGAGTATTTTTGCTTTTATATTTAAATTCCCCCTTGTTATAATTATGTAATATAAGCTCTTTCCTCTGGAAATTTCCTGTTAATTCATACACACACACATATATATATGTGTGTGTGTGTGTGTGTGTATACACATAGATATACATATACATGTACACACTACATATTTCTATTTGGTGAGTAGTTTTTCTTGCTGATTTGCAACCATTACTCCTAAATCTGGAAATGATATAATTTGTCAAAGTTATAAAATAAAATATAAATGATTCCATTTCTGCAAATTATCTATTAATTTGGGGGTCTTTCGGTGAGTAGAACTTTTTAATTTTAATCGTCAAAGTTGTCAATATTTTCCTTTATTTTTTCTGGATTTTATTCTTCATTAGAAATTCTATCTCCACCTAAAGTATGCAAATTTTTCATCCATATATTATCCTAATATATTTATAACGTTGTTTTTAGTTTAAGCCTTGTGGAGATTTTGTTTTGTTTTCTTAGTTATGGAAGATGTTTGTCTCCCCCCACTTATTTTCTTCCTAATTCTGTTATTGAACACTGTATGTATTTTCCACTTTCGGGTAAGGCTACTTTTACTGTAACTAAACCCAGATATTCAGGGGTTTCATCAGACAGTCTGTTTCTGGTCTGAGGCAGCCTGTTCTGTCTACCATGCTGCTGCATCCTCTGAGATCAGTTAGAGCAGACACTCCGTGTGCGTGCTTAGGCGCCTGGCTCTGATGCCCATCTCCCTGTGAGCTTCAGCATCAGCTCCTCGGTTCCTCCCCATACCTGGCTGTCCTGCAAGAACCAGGGGCATCTTTCTCACATTCCCGCTTTCTCCTCTGACGTGTTACACTGACTGGAACTTGGAGAGCAGTAGCTGTCCCTAGTGAGAACGCTTCTGAGGTTTCATGGTTGAGCTTCATTTTCAAAATACGCTTTCTTCCCAGAGAGAAATGTCCTTTCCTTCTTAAATGACACATTGAACAAGGAGATTTTAAATTTTACAACATTTGTTGATATCAGAGTGTCAGTCATCACAGTCTTTGATCCACTTTGCACTTTGTGAGCAGGGAGAAAGATGAGGAATTCTTCCTTCCACATGTAGACACCGAGTTCTCGCCGCACCGTTTGTTTCTCTCTCGTGCTTTCCCGCTGCCCATTTCTCCTGTCTTTGCTTCTTATTTGAAAAATCACCATGCCACATTTGCTCCCACAGTAGGCCGGCTCTTCCGTGTCCTTCCCTTCCCAGGGTGAAGCTCAAGTGATTTGACTGCATTTTAATGAGAGCTTGTGGCTAGATCATTGTGTCTATGGATGCTGCCTGCTTCTCCCTCTAAGCAGAAGTTGGCATCACGGAAGACTCACAAAGATCACACACACACACACACACACACACACACACACACACACCAGACTTAAAAAGAAATATAACCAAGGGACACATCCATCCCAAAAGATGCGTAAATCACAGCAAGAAACACACAGAATATTCGAGAACAAGCCACTCGGACACCTCCAAAACTGCAGAGACCCTCAAAAATTGAACCCAAAGATAATGGAATAGCTGAAATGTCAAAACAAAATTAAAATCTTCTACAAATGTTCAGTGGCCACAGGGAGGCCCCTTTGTTCTTTGTTTAGTAAATACATTTTAATCTACCTCTTTCTGTCTGTCTTGTCTTTATATTGGTGTTTTCTCAGCATCCACTTTGAAACAGCCTGTAGTTCCAGATTTTGTTTTCTTTTCAGGGAGAGCTGTTCTGAAGAATTTCAAATTTAAGTAGATTCCCTTGTAAAGTCTCTTGCTCCTTCCTAACCGTGCCTCATCATGTTAAGAGAATGTAATCTGTGATTCCTGCTTGGAAGAACTTTGTTAAAACTTGGTTTGAGGCCATCATGCACTGAACATTTGTAAAGTATGTGTTGTCTATGGTGTGTGAGCGCAAAATTCCATGTATCTCTGTTATATGAAGCTCATCGGCTGAGCTGCTCAAATCCCTGGCGCTCTCCCATGCTCCCACTGATTTTTGAAGTTGTTACTGGTACACTCTGCCCATCACTTAACTCTTGGTCGGCCCCATGCTGAGCGGATGTATTCTTAGGCACAATCAGGTGCACTTCACACGTTTTATTTCTCCTAGTGGCGGTTCCCATTTACACACTCTTTAAGCCAGCAGCCACCTTCAGTGACGCTGCCTTTCTGGACACAGTTCCCACACTGCCTCGTTTAACCTGTAAGGAAACGCTGCTGCTGTCCGACACCCAGAACAAGCAAGGAAACAGGAAAGGCTTCCTTTCCGGAATTAGTCAAGTTGACTCCACCCAGTCCCTTCGAGCTCTTTATTTTAGAGTTTGAAACGTCTTTGAAACTATTTGCACACCAGAAATAATTTTCTTCATTGCATATGTTCAGACCTAATTTTTGCCTCAAATCACAAAATCTGTGTCCAGAAAGTAGGCTTATCTTCCAGAATTGATTAAATTAAACAAATAAACATCTTCCCGCTTCTCTTTCTCATGTCATTCATTCACCTTAATCCATTCTAATCTTCTTTAAAAGCCTTAGCAATTTTTCTTGTGTTTCTCTCAGTGAGTACTGGGACTGAATCCCTACATTCCAGTATAAAAAAAATCCCTATAACATGTAATGTCTGAATTGTTATTTAAGTTGACTTTTCACAGTTCTTTCTGAAACTGAAATAAGTTCCAATCCAAATATTTCTAAATTTCCTGGTTCATGGTTAATAATTGTAGCATGGACTTTTTTTGTAGCAATATAGCAAACTGTGCATTCTGTGTGAGACACAGTGAAACAGCCTAGTTAGGTGTGATGCCGCACACAGATCCTTACATACGCACGCAGATCCTTACATACGCGCACAGATCCTTACATACGCGCACAGATCCTTACATACGCACACAGATCCTTACATAGGTACACTGCAAACCCACACCTTTTCTGTGCCTACATTTCCTTTCCTCCTCTTCGCTTTGAGACCCAAAGAGGAGACTCCCACATGCAAACTCTTTGATAATATGAGAAATAGGGCATTTTTACTGTCAATGCATCAGCCGTTTTTCACTCAAGTCATCTTTTTAATAGATTAGGAGCATTTCCTGCTCAGTCATTAGCTTATGCGGCTTGATCATCTGTAAAATTCTCATAACAATAATCATATTATGGTAATGTTGCACACGTTGCCGGTATTTCTCGTCTATCAATGTTGGCCTGTATTGAAGCCATGCTCCTGAAAGCATCTGGAATCATCTATGAGGATGGAGCCATTCTGAATTCCAGAGTCACAACATCAAACACTATCAGGTTCCACTTTCTGATACCCAGTGACCACAAACTTTGACAGAAACGAACTGCATTTCCAAAAGCCTTCAAGGGGCCAGCAGCATTCCAATAAGTGAGCGTGTTTTTAAATAGGTACATAACAGAAATGAACCAGAAACATTGTGTGTGGGACTTCTGTAACTCAGAAGAAACACAGACAAAAATTAGGAGTGTTAGCTAGGTGCACGCCTTTAATCCCAGCACTCGGGAGGCAGAGGCAGGCAGATCTCTGTGAGTGCGAGGCCAGCCTGGTCTACAGAGGGAGTTCCAGGTCAGCCTCCAAAACAATACAGAGAAACTCTGTCTCAAAAAATACAAAACAAAACAAAAAAAACCTAGGAATGTCATATTCCTATTTCCCCAGTTATGCTAGGTAGATTTCAAACTGTGAAAATCTTAGGGCAAATGTTTCAATAATAGAAATAAATTCAAACAATCATTTATTTTCTCTCTCATATTTATTTTGATTTCTAGGGTCCATTAGGATTGATGGGGCCTGACGGAGAACCAGGAATACCAGGATACAGAGTAAGCATTTCTGATTTTTAAAATTCCCTATATATTTATGCACAGGCAGAAAAGCATTTTAGCTCACATTATATTCCAAATGCGAAAATTAAAATTCACTTTTCCTTTATTAAAACCTTATTATGAAAACAGCAATGAGATTAGACCCAAAGTCTACACATCTCAATAAACTTCTCTACAGTTAGAATGGCCATTGTGCAGCTTCGCACTGGATTTTATATCCTCACTATCATATATATGTCTATTTATTTATCCACCACCAAAAAAAATGAAAGTTCTAGTAAATTTAAGAAAATAAAGTAAAGGCGGATCTCTGTGAGTTCGAGGCTGGGCTGGACCGACAGCCTCGAAAACAATACAGAGAAATCCTGTCTCGTAAACCCCCCCCCCAAAAAAGTAAAATTAACCCTGTTATTGTAAAGAAGGTTCATTTTCCCTGATAAAGCATTGTGATATGTCTAATTATAAACCTATAAAGTGTATCTTAATTTCTTCTCAAGACACTATAACTATTAATAGTACGGAATTGGTAGCATTAAATAACACGTGTTCATGTGGTCTGGGAACTGTCTCTCTGCTTGTCCCTCTTTTTGTAGGGCCATCAAGGTCAACCAGGACCCTCTGGATTGCCGGGACCCAAAGGAGAAAAGGTGTGTGTGTGTGTGTGTGTGTATGTGTGTGTTGTACTTTTAATTCCAATGTTATCTATTAAATCTGTGATTTCTAATGAATGCATGGAAAATTGCAAGAACCACTTTTGAAACTGGAAAATTTGCAAATTCTAGGAGGACATAGATACCAAGGAACTAAAATTCAAATGAATTATTAAAATATCTTCCATGGATTAATTAAAGATTGAGGTGAGAAAGTGTGTGTGTGAAGGTGCTTTGTGATCCACAGTTTTATAAAAGCAAAATTATTTTTTGACAGGTGAGATGCACTGAATGAAATGGCCACAGCATATAAATATCAACTTGGATTTACATTTCCTAATAAGTTAGGAATAACTATAGCATTACTCAGTTTACGGTTTAATTCAAAGTCTACATGTTGAGAAAAGTTCTAAGATGCAGTCGATGTAATTAAAACAGATTAATACTTCCAAAAACCATATATTGTAACAGGCTTTTTTTTTTTAGGCCACCAACCAACTCCCAAATCATAACACGGAGACTTCTTGTTAGTTATGAATGCTCAGCCTAGCTTAAGTTCATTTGTAATTAACTCTTTTAACTTAAATGAACCTGTTTGTCGTTACCCAACTTTTGCCTCGGGGCTTTTACCTGTATTTCTGTGTGTCCTGCTCTGTGTCTGCTGGCACGTGACTGCCTGGCTGGTCCCGGGCACCTCCCTCGCTTTCCTCCTCATTCTTCCTCTCAAGCCTAGATTTCTCCTCCTACTTATTCTCTCTGCTTGCCAGCCTTGCCTATCCCTCTCCTGCCTGGCTATTGGCTGTTCAGCTTCTTATTAGACCAATCAGGTGCCTTGGGCAGGCAAGGTGAAGCAGCAACACATCTTTTCATAATTAAGCCAATGTAGCAGGAACAAATGTATCACATCCTTATATCATTAAACAAATGCAGCAGAAACAAATGTAACACACCTTGACACAGTTAAACTAATAGGCCACAACATAAACAAATGTAGCATATCTCTGCATAGTTAAATATTCCACAACAATATACAGACTAGGATTGTATATGTAAAATATGATACACTTAAAACTTTAGCTGTAAAGTTTCCACTTCAACTAAAAAAATTAGGAAATAGCAGAGTATTTTTAATGTACTTTCTTACTTTATTTGTACTTAAAAATTGTTATTTTCATTTTAGGGCTACCCAGGAGAAGACAACACAGTCCTAGGACCTCCCGGGCCTCGAGGTGAACCAGTAGGTCTTTTCTAAAATTATTTTGGTACCTTAGGATGAAATGCAATCTGAAGCCTTCAGTGACAATGTTACCTTTCAAAGTTTTATTTGATTAGTTTTATAATGTGCCTTTATAGTAAAGCAGTATTTATCTTCATAACATCTAAATAATGTAAAAATCTTAGATATAAAAAATACATTAGCCAAGAATAGTAGCCAAGATGCATGTTTAAGAAAATTAATTGTGAAATCTAACTTTCAACATTGAATGCATGATAAATTTTTACGGAGATTTCCAAAACAAATATACTTTAGACATTTTAGGTCAAATATTTCTGTAATTATCAAAATCAGATCTGTTTCCGAAGTGCTTTTATAAAAATCTGATCTATATATGTTTATAGTAACTTACACACAGTTGCCAAGTGAAGTGCTTTTATAAAAATCTGATGTATATATGTTTATAGTAACTTACACACAGTTGCCAAGTGAAGTACTTTTATAAAAATCTGATCTATATATGTTTATAGTAACTTACACACGGTTGCCAAGTGATTTGCTAGCGTTTATAACCTGTCAGAGTCAATTGCTTTTCAAGACCGGACATATAGTCTTCAAATTTGACATTTAAAGACAAACTGTAACCGTTGTTTTGACAATTAACTACTAGTGTCGTTTTGATATCTGAATAACTAATTCTATGATAATTAAAACTAAAATAATATGTTAAGGACATATATAAACCTAAGTGAGTGAATAATACTTAGTTCACAGAAATAAGCTTATTGGTTATAGTATCATTTTTCACATAGTATCATTTAAAATAAAGGATGCCAGAAGCATGGCAAATGTATAGTCCTAATATTTTGATCTGGCTCTATGGCTACAGTTGCCATTTATATTTTACTGCAGAAAATAATATAGAAAATTTTTAAATGTTTCAAGTTAAGTTGAGACAGTTCATATAGAGGCAATCTCTTTGTGTAAATATTTGTGCATTTATGAAACATGTTTAAATCTGTCTAAACCACTTAGAGCAGCAGTTATCAACCTGTAGGTCATGACCCCTGCAGGAGGGTCAACCAACCCTTTTGCAGGGGTTGCATATCAGATATCCTGTATATCAGAATTTACATTACAAATCATAATAGCAATATTACAGTTATGAAGTAGCAATGAAAATGATTTTATGGTTGGAATCACCACAACATGAGGAACTGTACTAAAGGGTCACAGCATTAGGAAGGTTGAGAACCACTGACTTAGGGGAAAATAATATAAAATTTGTCTAACAAACAGAAAATATTGTCAAGTGGAGAATACTGGTTTCTAAGACTTGGGAATGTCAATAGAAAACTATAGTATCTGCTAAAGTGTAATAAATACTGTGCACTAAAACTAAAATCAACTCTTGTGGGATTTCCCAGTACACATGAGACAGGCATGGGACTTAAATCAGATACTCAGAATAAGGCAGGAGCAGAGCTTCTCTTTGCATTGTGCCTATTAACTATTCATCTAAGAGTAAGGTGACTTTATCAGTAGTCTATAATAACCACTCTATAAGATCTCCTGCTTTTCCAACTTACCCCAATTTAAATTTCTGTTCACACAGAAGGTTCTAGTGTGTGGTAACTAATACTCTATGTAAATTTTAAAGACTATATTTTGAATGGTTTGTCATATCAAAAAATTCACATAACAAGTATTTTAAAAATAAATCTTATTTTGTTAGGTTAGTTAAGAAGCCTGCAAAGTAAACAAAATTAAGCAAATATTTCACCCATTTAAGATGAAGAAAACTTCGGGGATGGAGAGATGGCTCAGAGGTTAGGAGCACTGGCTGCTCTTCCAGAGGTCCTGAGTTCAACTCCCGCCAGCCATATGGTGACTCACAGCCATCAATAATGACATCTGGTGCTTTCTACTGGCATGCAGGCATACATCAGGCAGAACACGATATACATAATAAATAAATAAATCTTTAAAAAGAAGATGAAGAAAACGTCAAGATTTATATTATATTATACTCAAAAAATTCAAGGTTTTATTAGATATTATTTCAAAATTTTTCATAGCAGAATCATTATGAGACTGTATTCATATAAGTCTGTTTAGCAGCAAACCTCAGAATAATTATATCTGTGTTGTAACTTATTACATTAGTTCTAATAACTCAATATAAAAGTTTTGAAATCACATGGCAGCTGTATATAAATTATTAAGTTAATTGATCAAGGTTTTAATTTTTAGCACTTTTGATATCATTTAAAATCCAACCATCTTCAGTTCTATAGCAGACTTAAAGAATTTTCTATACCTTAATCCTTATATTTTTGGCACCTTAACTGTAGCATCTGGGATCACAGCCATGAAAATGACTGTCTTTGTGTGTGCTCTCTGTAGGGCCCAGTGGGGGATCAAGGAGAGAGAGGAGAGCATGGTGAAGAAGGCTATAAGGTAATCACTGGGAGCTACCCACCTGGCTTCTAAATTTGAGTAGACCTTCCCTGAAACTGTGCTCAGTTTCAGACAAAAGCAAACACACTGAAATAATCAGCCATGCATTCTGGTTTTGACCCAGAGGACACCTAGCTCTTCCTGCTAGTTAGTACTGGATTCTTCCCACTATTGTTTTTTTCTCATCAGAGTGGTGTCAACTGGAGGCTTATCACCAGGGAGGCTTTTCTTAACTACCCTCCTTAAACAGATCTAGAACTGTTTTGCTTGTTCTACCTAAAGTAGATCTATAGCTAACACTTTATCATGCATCCTCATTTCTATCATGGTACTCAAATGTTACATTACCTTATCACTTTTTATTCGGTTTTGTTTTCTTTATTATCAGTCTTCACCCACCAAAATGTCAGGTCTAGGAGACTAAGAATCTTTTCTGTCCTTTTCATTACAGAGTCCCAATTGCTAGGTTGCAGAATCCCTGGTAGCTAGTAGAAACCCCATAAACTTTTATTGAAGAAATAGATTGATAACATCATAACACCATGACTTAGGTTAGTCCTTAGTCTCCATTTCTTTGACTAAGATTCACATAACTTACTCAAACTTATTTTAGACTCATGTTTCTGCTGACAATGTTTGATGCTCTTGTCTGCCATCTCTTGTCTCTTGTTTACAATGTTAATTTCCCTGTCGCTTTAGTCTTATTTCTTTGCTCACCAGATCCTCTCCTGCTCCCAGCTTTGCATAACCCTGGCTTCCAGAGACTCTATCTGCCATCTATAACTTGTCTCTAACTTTCCTCTCGTCTGACTCAAACAGCAACCTTGCCCTTTGCAACCCTATAATATTGCTTATAGGCCACTCAACACACTTTACTGTCTTTTGTTATTATATTTTTGCTAGTTGTTTTTTAAATTACATGGTGCCTTGGCTCCCCAATTATAATCTAAGTTTGTTCTATCTTGCATAGTGTTTAGTTGGAAGCCCTATGCATAATTTGCTCTTAATAATGAACTAGTGGACTACTTGACTCAATGCATCTCTGTCTCAAGGTTGATGCTCTTGATCACTACTGAAAGGCAGACTTAGATTAGACAAGTTGATTGGGCAAGCAAGTAGACAGACAATTGCCGCAATTAAACCAATCTTCTCAAGATGTCTTTTGTCTGAATTATTTCAGTAGCTCTCTAACTAGATTCCCTGTCCCCAGCCATAGTCCTCTCAAATCCGCTTACCAGTTATGTCACCAACAAGCAACTTCATAGAGTCCAAAGAGATACTTGGTGATTATTCCGTCACTGTGGAAAGGTCTCCCCACTACAACAAGCCAAGGAGGCAGCAAAGTTGTGGCTCACTATCATCATCCTGAGCTTTGTAACTGGTTCACATTGGGGATCTTAGCTAGGGTCTCTACTGCTGTGGAGAAGCACCACAAACACCAAAACGCTTACCAAGAAAACATTTAATTGAGTTGGTGGCTTACAGTTTCAGAGGTTCAGCCCATTATCCTCATAACAGTAACAGGAAACATGACAGCATCCAGGCAGACATGGTACTGGTGACATCTTGACCATAAGGCAGCAGAAAGTTGACTGACAGTCCCACTGAGGGAAGCTTGAGCAAGAGAGACCCCCAAAGCCCACCCCATAGTGGCACACTTCCTCCAACAAGGCCACACCCACTCCAACAGAGCCACACCTAATAGTGCCACTCCCTTTGGGGGCCATTTTCTTCCAAACCACAACATGTGGTTTGACTATAAAGACTCCTTTTCCAAATAACACCACATTTACAGGCTTCAAAGATCAGGCACCATCCCAGCCCTCTATTCAATCCTCTGCATTAACTCACATTTTAAAACAAAACCAAAACATAGCATATTTTTCTAACATAATATACCAGATTCATCAAAATATCCCTCAACTATAGGGATCCTGCTTCAAAGAAAAGTCTATATCTAAGTTAAGTTCTAGAATTCTCTACTTCCATTTTAAGTGATAAAAGTCTAGGTCACATGACTGAGCTCACTTGAATTAATTAAATCTTTTCTATCCCCAGGGCCATATGGGTGTGCCAGGACTCCGAGGGGCCACTGGACAACAAGGGCCCCCAGTATGTTGCGAAAGTATTCTCTAATTTCAGCATTGTTTTTTAAAAATCACATTAATATAGCAGACGTCTTCTTTGCTTTACATGAGATTTCTCTCTTGGCTCCTATTAAAGGGTGAACCCGGCGACCAGGGCAGACCAGGACTGAAAGGAGAGAAAGGAGCTGAAGTAAGTGAGACTTGTTTGAGGGAATGTCAAGTTGATTGTTGGCTTAGGAAAGTGGGCACAAGAGAGATTGCTGCTTATTATAATCCAAGTAGCCATTCACTCTCCGGAGTGCAGATCACCGTAAGCCTCTGGGGGAGGGTTAAGGGGCCACATGTCAGACTTTGTGCTAAACCATGACTGAATGACTCATATCTTTTGACTAGAATCTAAATTCCACTTTACCTATCTTGACCTTGTAAAAATCACCTAAGGATATCCCCTAAGGTAGTCTGTTACTGAGGTTTCAAACGGAAGTACCAGCACTGTAGAGTGAAAACCTATCAGTCATATAGACCCGGTTGTAGAAGTTATTAATAAGGAAAACTATTGAAGAATTGCTCAAGAAAGGTAATGAAAACTGTGTTCATAACAGTCACAATCAGTATAGAGTTCTCCACAATGATATGAGGTTTTAGAGTCAGACGGAAATTAGGTTTAATTCTGAATATAGGACCAGCTGATGAAAATTCATAGGCAAGGGGCATGGTAATGTGTAGTAGGAATAACTAAAGCCCAGAAACAGATATTGGGCTTCAAGCTTCAAGCTAAAGATCAGAAAAGCAAAGCAGCCCAAGCCAGTACCTCTTACCTCTACCCAGGCTGAAGCAATCCTGCCCTGTACATGACCGGAGACTAATTGCCTGAACATGGCTGGAGACCAAAATGCCCTAAACTGAATATCTGCTCCTATCTTGCATACGTCAAGCACTGTTATTAAAGGCATGGGATCCCAAGTGCTGAGATCACCTTTGTGCGAGCTGTTTCTCTTTTAGACTGGATCAATTTCATGTAGCTCAGTGTGGCCTTGGATTAACAGAGGTCCAACTGCTTGTCTCTCGAGTCTTGGGACTAAAGGTGTGCACCACCACTGCCTGGCCCTACGGCTAGCTGGTATGACTGCTGGGATTAAAGGTGTGTGTTACCACTGCCTGGCCCTACGGCTTATGGCTAGCTTTGCATTCTGAACCCTCAAGCAAACTTTAATAAATCATAAATAATACATCACCACAGTAAGGATCAGTGGATGGACAACATTAGGAGTAAGGGAGACTCCAGATAAGCAGACCAGCGGCAGTCCTGATGTGCACAGGCCAAGGTGATCAGACATCACGTGGGAGTGGCCAGTGAGGAATCAGAGGGATCGGAGATCAGGGCGTGGCAGGCCCAGGGTAGGGGGCCTGACTGAGGTTCATCCAAGTGAAGAATCTATCTGATAGGAAAGATGCAAAAATAGCCATTTGGTGGTATACCATAGACTCAACAGTTGATACGGGAGATTGTTTCCCGTAACACAAATCATGTATTTATTATCAAGCAAGTGACAATTCTGTTGGTTCACTAAATTTAGACTCCTCCCAGACAGGCCTGGCCTCAAGCATCCGCAGCAGGAGTTTCATTTGCACCATCAATCCATGACTGTCTTGCTTCTCACGTGTTCCTGACTCAGGGATAAAGAATCTTGTTTCTAGTGGTAGGGATTGGACCCAGGGCCTTGGACACTCTAAGAAAGTACTCTGCCACTAAGCTATACTGCTGGCCGCTAAAATTCAGTACTTAAGAAAACGTACTGTAGCTTAATTTTAAATTTTATAGACATGGGTAGAAAAATATTTGTGGATTTATGTTTCTTCTAATTTTTTAAAGGTTTCTTTCCAGCTGGCAGAGTTAACTTGTAAAATGAAGTTGTCTCAGATATGGTGAATAGAGATGTTCAGATGTTGTTCAGTCACATAGAAGCCTTGCTAAGTACTCAGGTTATGTATGTGGTAGTGTCACATTTGAGTCCTTAATAAAAAAAAAAAGAATTAAGCATTAGGGATACAGCTCTGTCAGTGCATTACTGGGCTTGCAAGCATGAGGACCTGAGTTGGATTCCCCAGAACCCATACTTTAAAGTCCAGGCATGTGCAAAATATGCTGAGAAGCGGGCACAGGTGGATCCATTAGCAAGTGACAGGTCAGTGGGAGGAGAGATGGCTACAATCACTCTTGTTGAGGACCTAGGTTCTCATCACCCCACTGGGAACTTCACAACCACCTGTAAGACCAGCTTCCTGGGATCAAACGCCCTCTTCATCCCACCACGGACACATACATCCACACAGATAATTTAAAAGTGAAATACACATGCGCATAATAATAGAATGAAACAAATATGTTTTTTATAAGTGAGCAGAGCCTGAAGAACAATGCCCAAAGTTATCCTCTAGCTTCTACATGCATGTGCTCATACAAATACACATGGACCTGCACACACATGTGCACTCACATAAAAAATAAAGAATGATTAATAACTAGTTGGTGAATTATAAAGTGGCCTGCATGAAGAAAGCATAAGGCAGAGAAACATGATAGCCTTCACTTTCACTTAAAAATGTATACGATGGGAGAAGTTATGGACCAAGCTATTAAGCTCATAGAACAAGTCCACCCAAGAATGTGGATGCATGTCCAGATTTTATCCTAAAGTGCCTAATGCTTTCTAATTTAAACTTTCATGTTTATCAGGTTTTCTTTTTCTGCTTTGACATATCTCTTGAAAAAGAGACTTTCTGGTTCTTATTAGGATCTGTTAAAATGATAGCAATGAAAATCAAATTCTCTTGTGGGGAAACTGTCTTTCCAGTGAGCTGGTGAACTGTCCCTATGCGCTGGAGCCAAGAAGAGCTGAGCCCATGCTTGACTTCTGCATGATGGGATGTACTGGCCCATGAAGTCCAATGGCACAGTTTAGGGCCTCATAGAGTTTATGCTAGCATTAATTGCTACAAGGATAACCACTGATTATGTGTTATTCATTAAGGACTCCTTTGGTGGCCAGATGTGTCCTGTCCAATTGCTGTCGTCTTGTTTTTGCAAAGCTTTAAGTTTACTTTTTAGAGTTTGAAATGGCCCCTTAAAGTCATCTGGATGGTGAACTTGTTTGCAAAATGAAGAAATTTAAATCCTGGAGAGATGATGCATTACCTAAGATCACAGAACTAATTAGCAAGAGAGCCAGAAACAACTTAATTTCCTGAGTCTCATTAGTATACGCAAGCTATTGCTTTGAAATCTCTTGTTAATTATGAATTTTTAATAAATTAAAATACACTTAATCCTAACTGACTAATGAGTTCATTCACTGAGCATGTGAGAGTGGGTTCCCCCAGAAAGAAGTGAGAGGGACAAAAGCCAACACATCCTACAAAGATTCCCATCATACAAATGTACACGGAAGTTCCTACAGCCTCAGAGCCTAGGACTACAGCCAAAGCCTCCTTTTCCTCTCAACACAGAACCTCTAGGTTTTAGTGAATGCCATTTTCTTGGTTAAAGGAGAAGAGAGGGAGAGTAGTTCTTGCAAGTTCTGCGTTTGTGTCTCTTTCTAAAGTTAGACCACTCAACGGCAATTGGAGCTAGCCTAGTGTGGTGGTAACTACCCTTGAGATGTCTTCAAAAGCAACAAAGTCAAAAGCAAAACAACAACGTTTCAATTAACAGAGAACCTTACAATGTCCTTTGTCACAAGAACTAGATCACCTCTAGTCAGAGAACCAGTGGAATGCTCATGAACGAAGGCTTCCGGAATGGTTCCATAGTGGCCGTTAGGTCTATTTTTTCAATACTGTTCAAGCAACAGGAAACGTGTACCCTGAAAAGACTTGCTACCAAGTCATTTGCCTTTCTATTTAAGGACATCCCATCCGTGGATGTAAGAAGGACTTACATTTAAATGAAATCAAATGAGGAGTAAGTTAAGTCTGACATCACAGAATACATCTGCTTTTATAACATTTGCATTTGGGGGGCTGTTGGAATGTGACTGTTTCCCTTCTTATGGCAATGGCCCAGTTACCCATCCAGTGAGAGCTTACACAGCCGCGTGAGTCCTTGACCTTAGACCATGTGTAACTTTTACTGCACAGACTACGCTGTGAGAGAGGAGTGTTTAAAATGCTGAGCTCTTAGTTGACTTAAAGAACAGGTGGTGCAGGTTCTGAGACATTTCAATATATAAATTCTCAAAATAAAATATAATACAGTACAAGAATCACTTTGTCCAGGCTTCTAGACCTAAGTACCAAGGGATATGTCACTTATACGTCACATGGTTTCATTTTGGAGGCTGAGTGTAAGGTCAGAATGGCCGCATGGTCAGGTTCTAGTAAGAGTGCATGCACCTCTGTGTTACAGGACTCCAGCTCCTAACTGTATCCTCACTAAGAGAAAAGGGACCAGACAGCTCTCTGGGGTATCCTTTAGAAGAGCACTAATCCCTTCCAAGGCCCTCACTCTCGAAACCTCATCACCTCCCAGAGGACCAACTTTTGCCCTTCATCATTAGGTCAGAAAATCAACGTGTGAGTTTGGAGAGCACACAAACATTTTGTCTATAACAAGAGCAACGTTCTGCATGTCTTGAAACCCTCAATACAAGACCGTGTGGCCTCTCTAGGTCCTCTGTGTTCTTTCAGCTACAGTGACAATAGCTAATCTAAATGATCCAAGACAGAGGCCAGATTCTTGGTATTTGTTTAATACTTACTTGTCAATGGGTGGATATTGCCATGACTACCCCCCAAAATTAGTAAAATGACCTTTTAAAATGTCTCTCATATTCATAAAATTCCCTTAGTGTTGTGCTATTAATAACTGCTTTTAATGCCCATCCAAGTCTAAAGAACATTCTAGCTGTGATAAGCCTTTAGATGTAGCCCTCAGAGCCCAGCATTTAACTTCTGAAATAATCCCAACCCAAGGATTATCTTCAGGTGTAATTGACTATAATAGTGCCTGAATCTTCCCATTTGTATTTTGTTATGTAAATGTGTGAAGCTCGTACAGGAAAGTATGCTGGAAGTAGAAATTTATTTGCATTCCTTATAATAGAACTTAACATCCATCCTGAATGTCTTCTCATGTAGTGGTAGACAGCTAACTGTTGGGAATTTAACTGGTTAACTGCCTCTAACTCCTCTAAAATACTCAAACATGCCACATTTGACATACAGTGTTTCCCACATGCTTTTTGCCCTAAACACAGCAGTAGCATTCTGGGTTGCCATGGTCAGGAAAGGTAGTAAGCGGGTGACTTTACTCCAGGCTTCCTTCACAAATCCACCAAAATGCACATTATCCTTTTTGGTCCCCAACTGCCATAACTCTACTATGCTGGCCCACCTGGGGTCAGAAGTTATTTAAGCCATGCTTGCATAGGTAGCTTTCTGAGTCTGGGATTACTCGGTGCCTAGCACCAAGCCCAGCTGAACAGTTGGACGTTCTGTCTCTTACAGTAGGTGCCTTTTCCCTCCATGGCAACATGCACTGTATCTTTTCAAAATTTGAGGCCATCTTCAAAGGTGTAACATCCGAAATGATTATTTGTGTGTATGCCATTAAACTGTATCTTCAGCGTGCTAGCCTTAAGAGTTTACCATCCTAGGCTAAAACAATCCAGCCAGCAGTAACTTCAAATGATCTCTGAGAAGCATGTCTGGTAATGACACGATCCTTTTCCTTATTTGTGTACCAGGTCACTGTGTTCCATGTTTTTCATCTGAAAATAATTTGGGGATATCATCAGAACAATGGAATGATTTGCAAGGATACAGTCTCTGACTATCCTGGCAGACCCATTACTGTTGAATCAATTATGACTTAAAACATCTCACACATGGAAAAACAAACAGTCCTTGGAAAATAAATACCTGGCTTTTTTCTATTTGTAAGTGTGTTCTTTGTGCTTCCGTGGAAGCAAATTTTGGCTATTGGTTCACATCCATCACCTCACAGTGTCTTGTGACCAAGGACTTTGCCTCTAAATTCCTAGCATGTAGCAGATGCCATGATACATGATACTCTGAATTTAGCCATGTTTAAAAGGAGGCATAAACCCTGTGTAAAAACGAGGGCATTCACAAAACAGTGCCCCTTTAGAACTGTGATTTGAACTTTTAAAACCGAACTCAGGGCCAAAAGAAAATTCCTCAGTGATCTATTCAAATTCTCCCATTTTTCCGTGATGGAAGTGGTCCCTCCACCCCAGGGAGAGTTAAATGGCCATTCCAGTGCTAGGCAGCTAGTTAAGAGTGCTTCTGTGCCGTTCAAGCCTCAGCGTTCCTCCCCGTGGTTTGTTTAAGTCAGTTTATTTCTATATATTGACAACTGTGTTTTCCATTTCCAGGGTCCTAAGGGGAAAAAGGGAGTTCCTGGTCCTTCTGGAAAACCTGGCGTTCCTGTAAGTAACAGACCTCTTTTATCTTTCTTGTTTTTCTAAACAGAATTGACAACTTTAGCAAGCAGAATAGTTTGGGGCCAGTTATGTCATGTTGGATAAATCAGACTGTCTTGAAAAAAATTCAAACCCATGCTGGAACACAGAGGGAACAAAATATGACCACTAACTCAAAACCAAACTTGCTGTTTAAATCTAAGTCCCTGCAAGTGAAGGATGCTATTTTCCCGTGTTATGGAGCCCTCCCTGCGGACTCTTACTTCTGTCTCTTGGTGAACCACTGTAAACAGGGAGCTGGAAACCTGACCAAGTGAGTGGTAAGGAAGGTCAGAGTCAAGTATAATTAAAAAGACATGAGCTGGGTTTAATTGGAGGACTCAGCAAGTCTTGGGGAGAAAAGCAGTCCTTTGCCCCAGAATAAATATTAATTTTACCTGAGCATCGGTGTCCTCCCCGAGCTGGGTAGGTGTGTGCTGGCTGGTTAGTTAGCAAAGAGAATGCTTATGATGCTGCCCAGAAAGAGTTACATGCCTGCTTCCACCAGTCTGCATTGGGACAAAAGGAAGAAACAAGATAAGTTGCGAGCACGTTCATGTCATAGAAATCGGTTGTGCAGGGCAAGGCAGTGGTGGTGCACGCCTTTACTCCCAGCACTCGGGAGGCAGAGGCAGGCGGTTCTCTCTGAGATAAGAGGCCAGCCTGGTCTACAGAGCGAGTTCCAGGACAGCCAGAGAGCTGTTGCACAGAGAAACCCTGTCTTGAAAAACAAACAAATAAAAACAAAACAAAATTTTTTAAAAAACCATTCATTCAAGAGTGGAAACAAGATATTCAGGTCTATTGTCAGCCATCTGATTATCTGGCTCAGGGGGAAACAAAGCAACACAATCTTTATTCTTGGGGAGAACATGATTCGAGGTGCTTCAGAAAAGACTGACGCCTGCATCTCAAGCTCTCCAGGGTCCATGTCTCATCTTCTTTGGACAGATAGAGAAAGATGGACTGACAGCGAGAAATGTCAGGGAATCCTCTGAGGCTCAAGAAGTTACACAATGAACTCCTGAGTCACTTTTATTTTTATTTAGAGGGCATTTTCTAGGATATTTGGAATGGAACTAAGGCCTTATAGATGTGAGGCAAATATTCTGCTACGGAGTTATAGCCCTAGATCTGTTTAGGGGACATTGTAAGGCATCTCTTTTATGGACACAAATACTAAGTCATTTAAGAGTAGAGGAAAGTTTTTGTTTAAGGCAAGGTCCAGAAGTATGTAACCTTTTCTACACCAGGGAACATCATCTGCCCAATGTGTCTGCATCATCTGCCCAATATATCTCTGTAATCAAAATAATTTTCAATTACCAAGGGACTTCCAGGCCCTCCCGGGCCAAAAGGCTTACAAGGATATCACGGAGTAGACGGCCTGTCAGGAGAACCTGGGAAGCCTGGGCTACTGGGAAAACAAGGACTTCCTGTGAGTAGTGTGGATGCATCTATGCTCCCGATTTCCTGTGCACTGATGTCTTTTTGAGGACTGTGGGGATTGGGCTAACCTTCCTCAGTTTGGGTATGAGCTCAGATTAAGTCAATCTCTAGTAGTTACTTTGGATATTTTATGCCTAGTAATCCATAGTAACAATTTATATATTTTTGTTCATGTGAAAACTTAAAGGTAAATAAAGTAGAAGCTCCATTCTGTGGCTCCATAACCAGGCTATGTTGTGCATTCATCAAATGTCCTCAGCCGTCTTTGGAACATTTCGGTCTTGGCGGTACCTCAAGTAGGTTCTGCCCAGAATAATTTCCCCTTTGCTTTTAAAGCCCTAGTATTTTCAAGAATTGCATGGATATTTGCTGTGTTCATTTAAGGGTGACACAATGATTCAAATTTATTCTTGTTTTAAATGCAAATTTCTAGCTTATTCTATCATAAAATTTAAAGTCATATGTTTTGAAGAATTATTTTTAATAGTGTGTCTGTGTGTGTCTGTGTGTGTGTCTGTGTGTGAGTATATGATCATGGGTGCAGGTACCTGAAGAAACCAGAAGAAGGCGTCAGATTTTCTGGAGCTAAAGTTACAGGAGGTTGTAAGTGGCCTGATGCAGCTGCTGGGAATGTCTACAAGAGCAGCAAGCATTTTTTAACTGCTGAGCCATCTCTCCAGCTCCCCAAACCATGTCTTTGTCTTCACTTAACCATGTTCTCTTTTTGTTTTATAAGTATCCGCCTAATCCAGAAATGTTTGTCATCTTAGGTTGTATTTTCACTTAACACATTAGAATAATTAGCTGTCTTCTTCCAATAACCCAGTAAAATTGAGCTGTTTAAGTTTCTACTATTTGGATATAACTATCCATTGATTTGTTCCTCTTTTCTTATTCAAATTTGGCAAGGCAATGTGCAATAAACTCAAGCCCATATTGATATTCTTCTTTCACTATGGTGAGTTACCTCATATATTTAAAAACAAAAAGAAACTGAAACTATTATCTATCTGAGTATCTGAGTATTTGAGAAATAAATACATACTCAGGTTCTGTCTGGAAAAAATGAATGTTTTTAAACAGTTTTTTTAAAAACACAGTTTCTATTAATTTTGGAGGAACCGCATCAGAACATCAGGTTAAGACCTACACAGGTGTTACATCCAAGGTGACTATTTAATTAAAATAAATATTTATATACTTCTGACAGCAGTTATCTGGTTAAAGAGGACTTTCTTTTTCCATCTCTTCCGTCTTCCTCCTCCTTTTTCCTCTCTCCTCTAACACAGTCTTGCTGTGTAGCCTGGGTTGCCCTCACACTCAACCAGCCTTTTGCTTCAGTCTCCCAGGCACTGGAATATAACGAGGCATTATGGGCATATGACACCACACCCAGCACACAAGAGGACTTTCATCTGAGATTCCAGTCTGAACGAGAACTTGTACACTGTGCCTTCAGCTTTGCCCTCGGAAGGCTGTGGTTTTGCTCTCTCCAGTGCTCAGTCACATAGTGATTGACCAGAAGTCCCTGTGAACAAACTCTGGGGATGAGCCACAGAACACATTGCTCACCGTACTGTGGGGTTTTCCTCCAGGAGGACCTTCTTTACCTCAGGGGATTCTGGTCTGGGAATTGACTCTTAGTTCAGCACATATCCCTATGTATCCCTAAGACCTGCAAGTTTTCCAGTTTAACACTAAAATATTCTAGTAAGCCATGGCAGATTTGGTTGGTTCTGTGAGTTCCTATGTTAAGTCAAACATTGCACAGATCTGTACAGATCACATCATTCTGATTCCACAAAGCCATGGCTCTGTGCAATTGCTGCTTCTGCCTCTTCTCTGATGGTGGATTACTATCCTGAGTTCTACTGTTAAGGCATTCCAAAACTCCCATTTAAAACAGACACAATTCGAGTGTGTTTCTGAACACCTTGGTAAAGAATGTTCTCTGGACCCTTCCAATGGAACAGTGACCAATTCCAATTCCATATAATAAATGCATCTCCTTGCTTCTGTCTACCCCAGCCTCTGAAACCTGCTACATAATACAGTAGGGAGACTGCTGTGCTCAACCTCATCGACTGTAGGTCACAATTGAATCTGGGCTTCAAATTGCAAATCCACCAAATATTAGTATTGCTCTCAGGAGCCTGTGTGTCCTTACTCATGTTCTGCATACTAATTAGTTTTATTGTATAACTAAGAACAACCTATCTGAAAGCTGTAGTCTAGTATGGCTAAAAATATTTTCAGGTAATTTTCTATTGTGATTTTATTGGATTTTCGGGTAGATGGTGTCTTCAAATACTGGTAGACTTGCCTCGTACTCATTTCTTATCTGATCTCTATGGTACCCTTTGTGCTGTGTTTCGAAGCATCAGGAATAGCAGGAAATGGCTGCTCTCATAGAGGTTGTGCACCTTGTTTCTCCACCTGAAGCATCTCCATCTTCGGTCCATCCCCCTTGTCCTGCAGTATCCTTTCCCCTCCCCCTTTCCTGGTTCCCATAGATATCTTTGTTTTCTTCTCCTGACTCTAAAGTTACCTGTCTTTGCCTATTGCTCCCGTGGCAGTAATAGTGAACTTAATAATCAAGCATATCTGTATTTAATCTGTGCTCTATTTATTATATCACTGTCTGTAGCTCCCCTGAAACACAAGAGGTGAAATGTATCTCAAGTTGTTTGCTTCTATAAGTACCTACCCTTCAGCGCTTCTTCATAGTGCCTCAAATTTTGACTATTCGATATTACACTCTTGCTTTCTGTTTGTATTCTCTTTCTTTCACACATTTTTAATTAAACTATCGAATCATCAATATTTTCAGTATCCTTTCTAATAAAACCTTCTGACTTTGTAAGGCAGCCTGCCGACCTCTTAAATGATAGCAGATATCACTTTACTCCTGTTTATAAGACAGATTCAGCGCTGTACTGGAGAGTCTACAAAACACAGCAAGGTTCCAACCAGAGCCGTAACAAGAAACAGAAGTCATTCAGATGATAATGGAAGAAAAACTGTCTTTATTTGCATATCACACAATTATCCACATAGAAATTCCAGAATCCATTAAAGAAAGGATGGTGAATGAGCCACACACAAAATTGAACTTGCATACTCGTGTGTTGTTTAAAGACAGGATTCTGAGAAGAGCACTGTTTGGGAGTCCATCATCCTGAAATATCATAGACTGTACTTACATAAACCATAATTGTGCACCTGACCACGGCCTGTGCTATGTGGTGTAGCCTTTGCTTCTATTTGTACACCATGTTACAGTACTGACTATTGTAGGCTTGATATCTTAGCACTACAGTAGTTAACTATGTAGCTGAACATAGAGAAACATAGAGAAGTACACTGAAAACGTGTAATTGTTTAAAAGGTGCATGGGGGGCTGGGAAGATGTCTCAATAGATAAAGCACTTTCTGTTCAAGTGTGAGGGCTAAAATTCAGATCCCCAGTATCCACACCTATGCTAAGCAAGCATGACAGTCACCTGAAATCCCAAAGACTAAGAGACTATCCCAGTTGACAAGTATGGGGTTCAATTGTAAGACCTTGCCTCAATAAATAAAATGGAGAGCAATCTAGGAAGACACTCAAGGTCAATGTTGTGCTCTTAGACCTACACACACGGACACATGCACACATACACACATGCACACACACACATGTACACCACACACACACACACACACACACACACACACACAGTCCCGTGCACACCTCACACATATACACACAAGAATATTGCACTGGTGGAAGGCACTTATCCTGAATGAGGCTGAGCAGCTGGATGGTTATCCTGGTGATTTTATGAACAATGGCGAGCGAACATGGAGACCCAAGCCATGGGTCTGCTGCTGTAGAATTTACAGGCAACGTGCATTGGGCTACAGTACATGTATTTTATGAAACAGTTGTATTCAATAATAAATTAATCTTAGATTATTATAACATTTTAATGTAAATCTTTCTTAATTTTTTAACTTTTGAACTTCTATAGTAACACAGCTTAAACACACCAAGTAGCTACATAAAAACATTGTCTCCCTTTGTATTTTCATTGAGTAGTTACTTTATACTTTTATATTTTTAATTCTTTAATAACATTTTAAGCATTCAAATGAGTAGTAGTGGTTCATGGGAGCAGCGAGGCAGGATGCCAGCGCCTGATGGGTTTAAGGATTGGCACACACAGAGAAACCGAGATCAGCTGGGCCATGTATTCTGCTGGAGATGCACCAGCATCAACCTGGAAACTTGGCACGCTTAACATTTACAGCCCACACTGAGGACGGAGATGATTAGCCAGCTTGGTAGGAAATCTCTGCAGGCGAGAAGTCTCCGGTTGGAGACATCTGGGATGCAGAAGCTGCAGATGATAGTTTCTACATACAATGTCAGCATCCCACTAAACCCGACCTGGAGAAGGCATTGCCATCGCCATGAGTCTGAGGCACTGGGGTCCTTGACATGGCCCTGTTCATGCCAACAAAACAAATTCATTTAGGACTTCATCAGCCCTCCTTCCACAGGAGGATTCTGCCCTGAAACTACTAAGTCCAGTATGCAGTTGGCAGCATCAGTGGTGGTACACAGTTGTCAGCACCAGTGGTGGTACACAGTTGTCAGCATCAGTGGTGGTACACAGTTGTCAGCATCAGTGGTGGTACACAGTTGTCAGCATCAGTGGTGGTACACAGTTGTCAGCATCAGTGGTGGTACACAGTTGTCAGCACCAGTGGTGGTACACAGTTGTCAGCATCAGTGGTGGTACACAGTTGTCAGCATCAGTGGTGGTACACAGTTGGCAGCATCAGTGGTGGTACACAGTTGTCAGCACCAGTGGTGGTACACAGTTGTCAGCACCAGTGGTGGTACACAGTTGTCAGCATCAGTGGTGGTACACAGTTGTCAGCATCAGTGGTGGTACACAGTTGGCAGCATCAGTGGTGGTACACAGTTGGCAGCATCAGTGG